GGGGTTAGTGTAGACGCTGGTATAGTTTTGTCGACAAAAGTGGACTTTTGTCGACAAAACTAGGTAGTCTAGACACACCCTGAGAGCCTGAGTCTGTGTGGTCTCAATACTTTTATTTTATTTTATTCTATTGTTTGTTAGAAAGTAAGGAAAGGTAAATCTTTGTGATCGCTGCTATACCCATATTTGTTAAACATAGAACATTTTAGCAGGAAATCAAGCCCTGCATTTAAGAAAGGAAGCATGTACATTTCTTGAAGCATGCCAACCCAACGTCTCTGTGACTAGTATTTGAAGGAATGAAAATGTGCATATCTCAGATCACTAAATAATGAAACTGAAATGTTGGGACTTCCCATTGCCTAGTGTCTGTGAGATTGAAGGAGGAGGAGAACTAAATGAACAAATGAGGTGAAGGAGAATGAGGTTTTTCCACAATCTCAAACTAGTGCGTTGGATATAAAAACTAGCACAAATTTTAAAAGAATTTTTTCCTGTCGTTTAAACCCAAGGAATTCCTGCCAGAGTGATTTCATTTCACAGACAAAAACAGTCAAAACAAATCAAATGACCAAAATGTTTTTGTAGCAAACAAAATGTAATTAGGAAGTAGAAGAATGAGCCTGCCCTGCTCAATGGAAAGTATTGAAGGCAGTAGACAGGAAACCTCAGAAAGGAATCTGGTTGGTTCCTGTTTTTGAGGCACATTCAAGAAAATCCTAAATGTGAACCTAGTCCAGCAGGGACTAGATCACACTCCATTCTCCTTTACTTCAGAGGGAATTATGGGTGCTCATTACTTCACAGACTTAGGCTTGATGAGAGGTTCTCTTATATGTCTTAGTAAATATGCAAAGGGCATACGAACACTTGCTTCACAAAAATGCAAAGAACTGGAAGGAAATAAAGGCCTCTGTCCTATAAGCAAACTGTTGCACCTGCCAGAGCTCTACTGACTTCAAAAGGGATCTTTTCGGGCATGGCAGTCCATCTACGCACAATAAATTGCACCATCAGATCAAAGTAACAGTGAGGCGCCAATCCACTTCCATAGAAGTCAATGGGAGTTGGATCAGGCCGTAGATGAAGAAATGGTCACATGGGGCCAATGGGGTTTTTCCAAAAGCACCCCAAGTTATGTAAGAGTGAAGGTACCTTTCTTTTTCAATGGGCAATGTGCTCCTATGTTATTTAGACACTTTTGCACTTCATTGCATGAATTCTCGTCTAGTGGTTTGCAACTATTCCCTTAAAACACCACTATTCTTGCTATCAGAGTACACTTCCCCTAATTTAGTTTAATTTTCCACATTATGAACACACAAGGCTTTGTGGTGCTTACCCTTGCAGTTGCCCCTATATGCAATTTCCAACTGAGGATCTTTGCATTTTGCTCGTTGAAATTCACAACGGGACAGGAAAGTCCTTCCATCAGAAGCACAAAGTGACTTCTGAGGGGATCCTGCACAGTCCAGGCTGCATTCTCTGTCTTTGTCTTGGTCCACTCTCAAAAACTAGAAAAAACAAAAACAAATATAAAATGGCATGAGACTTTGGGAAGTCCACTTCAAAAGTCAGCTCTCATCAATGGTATGTAAAGCACTTCCTGATTACTTACACCAGCGAACGTAGGCAGGTGTAATCCAAAAAATGAAAACCTATGTTTATTGTATGCTAAATAATAGATAATTTGGTGTTTCCTGGTTTTGGATGGTTCAATTGTTAATGTGAAATACTGGTAATTGAAATATCTCTGGGATATGCATTTCTCTCTGTGTATATATAAAAAAAAATTCCTGCAGGACAACAAAGTGACATATCATCACATCACCTGCATCGTCCCACCCCCTGCTGGAGTTTTGCTCTAGGCAGCTCCTCTGGACCCTCTCCCTCCTCCCAGCTGCTCCAGGGATTCGGTGTACTTTCCCTCCCCCATGCTCCAGGGAGGCGGGAGACACATGGCTTCCCTTCTCCTCCATGCTCTCCAGCCCACTCCCTCGCTCCACTAAGACCCCCCACTCCCTTCATTCGTACCCCCCAAGCTGAGACCGCGCACTCCCAGCCCTTTACTCACCTCCTCCACTGAGACCCGCACCCCATCCCCCAAGCCAAGACCCCCATCCCCAGCCTGCTCCTACATCCTTCCCCCTGGCCAGACACCTACCCACAGCCTGCTCCTGCCCTCTCCCCTGCTCGTGCACCTTCTCCCCTGGCCAGACATCTATCCACAGAGAGACAGGGTTTGATGAGCGTAGCTTTCATACTCTCTGGCCATGAACGCTCCCAGAGAGAGAGGGGTTGTCAAGTGTAGCTAGCAAGGGGTGCAGCCTATTAGTAATGTATTATTTTAATTAGGAAACTTTGAACATTAAACAATCACTCTGGAGAGAAAGGAGGCTGGTTCAAGCCTTTAGAGATAAAAACACGGATAAAGTGAAAGCTGTGTTCTCCAGCACTCATGGTAAATGGGAGTCGCCGGTTAACTGAATGTGCTGGAGAACAAAGCTAATTGCTTTGTTCCTACCATTTACTGGCAGATCTAGCTCCCAGTAGCTTGATACAGGCTACATGGGAGGGAGGTGCCTGCTGATATCAGTAGCCCTGCAACAGCCAAATGAAGAGGCAGGAATCAGATGCGCAAGCCTCCAAATACAGCGGTATTGTAGTTGGATCAATGCTGGTTAACAAAAATTTTCCAGCTAACAGACTATGGAATAACAAAGCTTTCACTCTATTACAAAAATGGAAAGCCTGTGAAAAACAGAAATGAGGGTTTACTGTGATCCATTTGCTTACACTATATTAATGTGTTATATATAAAACACATTAATAAAACATGAGTTGGTAGATACTGATACAGATACACATCCTCTCAGGAGTGTCCTCTTTTTTGAAAGTTCAAATATTGTAACCCTATGTTTGCTACTTTGCAATAGCCCTGGGTGAATCACAACATTTTGGAAGGTTCCGCTAAAGGCTGGATGTTTACACAGAATATGATACTCATTCTGCAATAATGAGCTAGAATTTCTGCTCTGAGATCTGGATGGCTGGGTTTGATTTCAGTGTTCTGATCAAACTATGTCCCCAGAATTCCAATTGGCAATATTGATACAACTTGTTAACAAATTGTAGGAAAATAAGTAAACGTGCAGTTCTTCAAGTTATCTGTGGTGCTTAGATCCCATGGTGCTAGGTATTTTAGTAAATTGCCTGATACATTTAGGTGTAAAATTACAAAATAACAGCTCCTCCTCTGCTGTTGCGTCTGAGTGGTAACGGCTGGACTTGCCTCCATCCAACATGGAAGCCTCATTGTTACTGGTCATCCTGTGTTAAACTCTCTCATCTCTGTGCAGAGTGGCCAGCACTGACCCATGTGCCAGCAACATCCAACATAGGTCCTCAAAAGGGTTATGAGAGTTCTAAGTGGAGCGGGGGTTTTGGTTCTGGGGGGAGTCTGGCTCCACTGTACAAAGGAGGATTTCACCCAGAGTAAAATGGCAGGCTGATTGACTCCAGGAGATAGGTAGATAGATAGGCCAAGCCAGGATTGGAAAGAGGAATGTTGTGGCTTCTTCCATGGCCCCGATCCCGGCATGCCATTCCCTGGTCTGTAGAGCCTACCCCCACCAATCTGGAGTGGAGTGGCTTCTGCAGGCACATCCAGATGGAGAGACCACAGAGAATAATATCTGGTCCCAACTTCTGAGTTTTTCAACCTCCTCCTGTAATAGAGGTAGAGGGGAGCAAATACGGGCCATGATTAAGGTGTCTCTCTCAGGTTGTTTTCGATCTGGAGTTACAACAGATTAGAGAGCAAAATATTTTTCTCTCTAATTTAATTCTCCTGTTACTTTGAGCATGCTAAAGGATCATTAGTTTGGATTTACATTTCCTACCAGCAGCATAAGAATTTACAGTCATTCTTGGAGCTGGGAAAAGCAGGATCTGTTGGCACTGAAACACATTTCCTTAAGCCTAACTAGTTTTATGCCACTTTCACATTCAGCCAGAAATGAGCACTAAGACACTTTATTTTCCAGTCATCAGAAAGGGCTGGTGCTATGGACGAGGTGAAACCACTGAGTCCTGAAACAGTGTTCTCTATCATTTTACTGTTTTCTGAGTAAGCCATAAGGTATGAAAGGCATGTAGTTACCAGCAGATAATCACCCTTCTGGGCACTGCAAGTCACGGGGAAATGGACCTTGGAAACTGTCATCAACCAGCAGAAATGCTGCCTTGGTTTTACAAAATGTGTAATAATACTTTATTACTATTAATGTCAGATACTGGAAAATTTAAAGCATTAGGTTATGTATGCAGGGTAATAAAAGTGGAAAGCTTTGTGCAAGGATGAGGAAGAAAAGCACAATTTGTGTATCTGAAGTACACAAGCCTCCAGACTTGCATTTCTCCCTTTTCTGGAGGAAAATGTTGGCTCACCTGTATTTTAGTGGGAAAAATGTGATAAAGCCACTTAATTTTTATGCTTAAACTTTGGTTTGTTTGCATTTCCTAGCACTTAATGTGAGAAAATAGAGATGTCTTATAGTAAGACGTGATAATTATCATTTTCTGTAAATAGAGAGACAACCTCACAGCTTCCATGTAAAAAAAAACCCAACAAATTCATATGGTTGGAATTTGACTGTAATTTTCATGTTTTAGCAGCAAAGGAACAAACAATAAGGCATTCTTTTCCCTGCTCACAGCACTCTTTGTTTTTCTTTTTCCTTTTTAATAGTAATTCACTTCAGGAGCAGATGAGTCAGATGACAGAAAAAAACACAATCCTTTATGTCTGCATTTTAGCGATAGTTGAAGCAAAATGCAGGACAATGTAGCACTTTAAAGACTAACAAGATGGTTTATTAGATGATGAGCTTTCGTGGGCTTTTTTCATCTAATAGTTGTTTGTTGTTATTTTTCCCCTTGTGAGAGGTCCTAAGATACTATGGGGATAGGGAGAGCCACATAAATATCTAGATAAAGGCTATGTCTACACCGCAGAGTTTTTTCGGAAAAATGGCTGTTTTTCCAAAAAAACCCGTCAATTACATCCACACTGCAATTGCGTTCTTTTGGAAAAAAAATTGAAAGAACAGAGGGGTTTTTACGACAGTGGTAAAACTCTTTCTATGAGGAAGGATGCCTTTTATGAAAGAGCTGTTTTAGCAAAAAGTATGTGGATGTGGAAAAGGGTTCCTCCCTCCCCCCCCCCCCCCACAACAATGGTTTTCTTTCGAAAGAAGAGGCCTCCAGGAAATAACATAGGTGCCCTGGTGGCCACCCCATCCAAAGTAATCACAACAATATAGTTCTGTCTCCTGGCCCCTCTTAAAGCGGCAGGCACCCTGGACAAGCCTTGTGGCAGGAAGCTGGCCCTGGAGCAGCACTCTGACCATGCAGCTCTCCCTGCCACAGGCCTGCTCACCCATGGCACAGCCACAAGCCACCCGAGACCCCACTTTCCCTCACAGGGAGCAGCACCAGGGATCCCAGAACCCACCAAGGGGTACTAAGTGGCAGGCCCTCTTGTGTTCTGGAGCAGAGATCCTGACCCTCCTCAAGCTATGGGGCGAGGAGGAGACACTACAGGATCTCTGCTCCAAACGCTGCGATGCTGAGATTTATGGCCGGATGGCCAAGTCCCTGGTGGAGCAAGGACACTCACCCCGAACCTTAGAACAGGTCTGGAGTAAAGTCAAGGAGCTCCATCAGGAATACGTGAGGGCCAGAGAGCACAGCTCGCGTTCTGGGGCAGGATCCTACTCCAGGGGCTCCACCAGATCAAGAGGGGTGGGGAAGTCGTTTCCCCACCCGTCATGGTGGACTCCGGGCTAGAGATGCCTGTCGTCACCCAGCCACAGTTCACAGAGGAGGAGGACGAGGGACAACAGGAGAAGAAGGACGACACAGCCACCATGACGCTGTCCCTGAAGCCGGTTGCTGTGAGCCAGGACATGTCCAAGGCATTGTCTGATGCTTGGGAGGGATCTTCAGGTGAGTGCTCTCAGTTTGTCACACAGACAAGGTGGCGGAGGTGGGCACAGAGGGGAAGAGGTGTGCATGTCGCTTGGCCTGCTTGGGCTGGACTTCGTGCTGCAGTCTGTGCACGTGGAACCACATGCAGCGTCATTGTATGCCACACGGACTCAGCAGGCAGCCCCTGAGACCACCCAGACTCCTCAGGCTCCTGTTCCCATGTTCAGGGGAGGCCACTACATCGGACAGTGAACCACACTAGGTGTGTGGGTTACATAAGCCTTATAGGACAGGCACAACCTTTACAATTGTTTAGTAACCAGTACAGCAGGACAATAAACAGCCATTAGATTACAATAATTTTTTGTTACTTCTAGCCTGCTCTGGATTTGAACCAGTAACTTACTCGCCCATTACCGGCTATTTCTAGACTACAGAGTTTTTCCAGGATATCAGAAGTAAAAAAACTCCACCACGTCCAGGGAACGCGTCTGCTCTTCCAATATTTTTTCAGAAGAGCAGA